ACCCAGTATCCTAGTTATTTCCCTGATTTAATTTTTTCCTAAAAAACAACTTCCATTTACTGAGCACCAATTAGTACTCACCTATGCCTTTCATCACCCCCACTTTACAGGTGAGAAACTGAGGGTAAAAAGGATTTAAACAATTTGCTCGAGACCCCATGGCAGCTTAGGAGGAGCTGGAATTGGAAGCTGGCCATTGGATTTCAGAGTTTATGCACTTAATCATGCTTCTATTTGGCCTCTGGACACCACCAAGAAGGGCAGTTGTGATTAATTCTTGCAACAGCCCCACATGCCAGGTATCTTATCATTTCCACTTGATACAATTGAGAGTCTAGAAAGCAAAATAGCTTGACCAGTTTCAACCTTTTTTTTTAAACTGAGTGAAATCCAGAAAAAACAGATGTGTCCCTTTATGCTCAGATTTTCTTCTCCAGCACTGGGACATTCATGGCAAACTGGGCTTATTATGACCAAGTGTGAGTCTGCAGTTTAGAAAGAAGCAAGAAATGAATTTATTTTTGATTGGATCTTAAAGGGGCAAATAGTAAATTCTTGCCAATGCCGATATGAGTTCAGGTGAGAACAATCAGAGGGCTTATCGACCAACCACGTCCCCTAGGTCACCATTACATACCAAGGTGGGGAGTTGGGATACACACTCTGCTCACTCTGGGAGAGTCAGGTTCATTTTTTGAATAAATACATGGTCGCTGATTGAATCCATCTGGTTTTGATTCAGCCTAGCAGACTCAGAAAATGCAGAAGTCAGTCAGCTCTCTACCGGGGTCCAATGTCTACGCAAGGCCAGTTTATGCTCAGGTAGCCCAGGCACTGCCTATGCCTCAGTTGCCACGTTGAATCCAAGCAAACAGAGCCTGGCATGAACCCTCAAGGGATAGTGCTTCCCATCACTCACTCTTCTGAGCTTTTTTCCATGTGTCTGGGTCCCGATGAATGAGATTTACATTGTCTTAATAAATATTAATAGCCATTTTAATCTTAGTAAACCCTTTACATGAGATATTCAAATGACTTCCCAGTCATCTCAAGCCCCCGGTGAGAGTGAAGCCATCTCCTTAAAAAGCTGTATCAGCCCTCCCAGGCCTTTTGGGCCCTGCTGAGCTGGGTCTGTGTGAAAGGAAACACATTTGGGGACAAAGCAAACAGGTGCTTAGGATAGGCATGCCATAGTTCATATTCATTGCCCCATTCCTATTTTCAAATATTGGATTCCAGCCTCTGGTTGCAGTTCATTTTATCATCTGTCCTCTATTACTTTTAACATGGAATATTTTATAGTATTAGTGATAATACTAGAAGCTAATATCTAGAGTACTTACAGGGTATCAAACAAGAAGCTATGTTTTTTTTTCAATGCATTATTTCACTCAGTCCTCCCAGCCATACTGTTAGATAGACATCACTCTCATTCCCACTTTACAGATGAGAAAGCTGAGTCTCAGGGAGGTTGCTTGTCCAAAGTTATATAACCATTAAACAACATGACAATATTGAAATTCAAACTAAGGCTTGTTTGCATCAAATATTTGGCTATTCCAATGGAATAGCCATGTCATTACAACCTTTCTATTAAAAACCATAATGATCTGGGACAAATAATACTGCAGTTTGAAAAACGTAGAGTGGGAGAATACAGGAGAGAGATTACTTTAAAAAGTCTAGCGAATTAAGAGACTGTTAAGTAAATTTTTAAGTCCCTTCCTATCCATAGGATCAGACTGAATAAGCTTCACATTCATGAGCCATGAAAACTGGAAGGTATCTCAGGAATTACATAGTTCAAACTTCTTATTTTACACAAGAGGGAACTGAGAAACAGAGAGGTGAAGTAATTTGTCTGAGGTTATCATAATCATAAACATCTGGATTATTTACTAAGATTTGTTCTTCTTAACACATTTTGGGATATACATAGACCAAATCCTAACACAAAATAAAATATTTCACGAGGGCTCATTTCTTTATGTGTACATTTCCACTTAGTGATGTTCTCTGCCTCATCTGTCTTAGCAGATGGAATTTCTAGAACACTGAAAACAACTATGCACAAATGAAGTCAGCATAATTATTGATATGGTTTGACTCTGCTGTCCCCACCCAAATCTCATGTTGAGTTTTAATCCCCAGTGTTGGAGGTGGGGCCTGGTGGGTGGCGATTGGATCATGGGGGTGATTTCTAATGGTTAAGCACCATCGCCCTAATGATGTCTAGTGAGAGAATTCTTGAGAGAGCTGGTTGTTTAAAAGTGTGTGGTACATTCCCGTATCTCTGTCTCTCCTGCTCCACTATGTGAAGATGTGCCTGCCTTTCCTTCACCTTTTGCCATGATTGTAAGTCTCCTAAGGACTTCCTAGCCATGATTCCTATACAGCCTGCAGAACTGTGTCAATTAAACCTCTTTTCTTCATAAATTACTTAGTCTCAGGTAGTTCCTTATAGCAATGCAAGAATGGACCAATACAATTATTCTCCGGAACCATCAATATTTTCCTATTTCAGAATTCAAAATGTTAATGTGCCATTTTTGAGAGGATAGCTGTTGCCTCTAGTTTACACTGATATCCTGCACCAATGAGTTGTGTGTCTCAGAAGGAATTACTTTATGGCAGTTGGAGTGAGCTGTATGTTTGCACCATTGCTAAACATCAGACTAAACAATGGGGTCCTTACTGGCAGGGATTGTGGGTTCTCACTGCTGTCCTCATTGTCCTAATACAACCTCTGGCACAAAGTCTATACTTGCTGAAAGTTTGCTGAGTAAATGATAAAGATGGATGAATCTTAAGACCTAGAAATCTGTCTCATCAGTGAGGCAATGTAGTGAGAGACTCATCGTTAATTATGTTAATTATGATATGATATATGATATGTTATTACATATCATTATTACAGAATAACAGAGCAGAAACATGAAAAGGCAGCCCAGGCCTAGGTGGAGTCTCAACCAAATTCTAGACTAATAGTGTTAAAATATGCAAATGCCTGTCCAGGATTAGACTGCCTCATTTCAAATTATCAACCACAAAACAGCCAGTGGTCACCAAGGTGCCCTATACTGTTACCATTTTGAAGAGGAAGAGTAGTGACATGAGGCATTGAAGAGGCACTTTAGAAATTCCTTTTAATGGTTATGGGGATTGAGATATTTTTAGGTTAAATATCTCTGTGAAAGCTCAAGCCATAGGTGATGTTTTGGAAATTGATTCATTCTTTCTCATTCAACATTCATTGGCTATTATGCCATGCACCAAAGATATAAACATGCAAAAGACATGTACTCTGTTCTCAAGGAAACTGCAGTCTCGGGAAGAGAGGTAAGAATACACAAAGTAAACACACAATTACAGTAAAGTCGGGTTAAGACGACTGGCTCTCACATCAAACTACCATTGCCCAACTCCACTGTGTATTCACTAGCTGTGTAACATGAATGAGTTCCTTTACTTCTAAAAGCCTTGGGTCATCAAAGGTAAAAGAGGGGTCATAGTGCTAATATCTATTATGCAAAGGTCTTAGGTGGGTTAGATGAGATAATATATATTAATGCTTAGCAGAGCTTGTCATAAATATTCAAAAAGCTATGATAACAGTGGCTATTACACTTCTATTGTAAATGCATTAATAGGAATAGAGGTTGGGTGCCTGAGAAAAACAGGATTTGGGGGGAAGTAGAGGAAGACAAACAGGATTTGGGGGGAAGTAGAAGAAGACTAGCTTCCTCAAGGACCATAAAGATGCATCAGTAGGCAGAATGTGTCTTTGAAGTTGGATGATTGGGGTTGCCATAGGGGATGGCTGTCTCTCCTTTGGGTGTCTGACAGGTAAAATCCAAAGGGTTGGAGCCATTTAAAAACCTCAACTGTTCAAAGCAAGGCTTATATTCCCAACCAGCTAGATCAGAGAATGTGAAGACGAGCAGAAGATGAAGCAGAGGAGGAAATGCAGAAGATGGATCGTAACCTTACTTTATTTCAATCGTTTTGCAGGTCACTAAATTCTTCATAAATTACCCAGTCTCAGGTCGTTCCTTATAGCAATGCAAGAATGGACTAATACAATAATTCTGCAGAATAATCCATACTTTCCTGTTTCAAAATATGAAAGGTTAATGTGCCATGTAATAGGGGAAGTGACATACCAGAATTTTGGAAGGGTCACCCTGACTACAATGTAACCTAGAATGACTCCGGAGAGATGGGACTAGAGGCAGGGATACTGGTACTGTCTAAGAAGCTGCTGCAGTAGTGAAAGAGAAAATGATGAGAACCTAGACAGGCAATAGTAATGGGAGCAAAGAGAAGCGAAGAGATCTGAGAAGTTTTTAAGAAGAAAGTGGTAGGACTTAACAATTAATTGGACGTGAATACCAAAGCCAGGGGCAGTCAGTCAAGGATGGCTTCTGGGTTTCTGGCTTGAGAGACTGGGTGAATGAAAGAGCAGGTAGAGTGAGAAAGATGATGTTTTCAGTTTGAGATATGTCAAGTTTAAGGTTCCTTATAGGTCTTTCAGGGAGGAAGGTCTAACAGGTATCTGGTTAGAAATATCTGGTACTCAGGAGAAATACAGGTTATTCAAGTTATGGAGAGGATCCAAGAAATTATTTTATGCATTGAAAATACTTGATATTAAGCCACTACTGAATCTATTTTTTTGCTGTTATTAAAGATGAGAACACCAAATACAGAATATACAGTTCTTCTAAAAGACCCACCTTCAATTTTACTAAAGTGAATGACCCACTTTGATGAACAGAATAATAACTTCCAAGGTCTCTTACAACGCTAATGTTATGATTCTATTCTTCATCTGGAATTGCCTTTTGAGGACAGCACACCTGTGGCCTTAAATCTTCCTTGGTGAACATGTGAAATTGTTTTAAATGAAAGTTCATTACATGTAAAGCCATACAAACCCAAACATGCAGTGACGATGCTTACGCAAAGAAAAACCAAGTAAAGACACTATCTACATTTACCTACTCTGATCCCAATTGGCTGCAAACAGCAAAAGAATCTTCCTGCCGTAATGGTCTCGGTTTTCCAGCACCCCGGGGAACCCATCGATCAGAGCCCTCTTAATGCCGGGATCATCTGCCTTGAAGTTTTTGAACATGTCCAGGTTTAGCTGGCGGTACTGGAAATACTGAGCCAGGAGTCTAAAGGCATCCGCTTGGTGAAACTTCCTGGCTCGGAGGAATCTCAGGATGAAGGCATCATCTGTACGTAAAAATCCAATGTCAGGCCTGGTGATGATCATGTCCCTGACTTGCTGAATATCCTGATGTAAAACATCTGGGTTTTCATTCAGTTCCAGGCGAGCTTTCTCTATAGTCTCTGGACTGAGTCCAGCCTGTAAATGGGTCATCTTGGCCAAATCTCCGTTCCAAGTGTTTAACTTCTGATATTTTGGAAGAAGAGAGATTGGTCCCATTCACCTGATGGTCTGCTGAAAATGTGGCCCATTCAACAGTGTCTTACTACAAGACTGCCCTGGAACAGACAAATAGAGGGTCTTCTTTCACATTCAGGCCCTATGTGGTGGTGTCCATCCAAAAGAGAAGCAAAACTGAGGCCATTGCTTACTGAAAAACAAATACACACAAAAGAAACAAAACAGAGATGATACAAAGAAAGTCTGGGCAAATTAATTGGAGCTTAGACAGAAAAACAGTATATTAGGTTGCGTGTCTGATTACATCAGGTAACCAAAGAACAAATGATAAATTATCCTTAAAATGGGGTATTGAGCATAAGTTGAGTATAGACAACTTGAATACCTAATATGCAAATATTTGAAATATCTTTGGGAACGTTTTAGTTCCATTGACCAGTTAACATAATAGTGCCTGACCAGATTAGCAATAGAGTGCACTTTTATTAATTACCTTAAGAAAATGTGAGAGGAGAGGATACTTCTCTGTGACAGCATGCTTTATGGGACCCCTCACAGGCTTAGATATGGCAAAGAAATTATAGCTATGGTACAATTTATTGCTTCCCATTGGCCTCTTTTCTCAAACAGAAGTATCTTTCACAGAAATGCTCCTTCCCCCACTTTTTAAAAGCCAGCCATTTGTATCTTGACTATAAAAAAGCTTTCCCTGTTTTAACCCCACCGGTGTTTGTGACTCACAGGAGTCCTCCACCAGTGTGTGTGAAGGGTGGGGATGGGGACAGACTTATGGCTGGAAGCTTGACCTCTAATAATCAAATTCAACAACTGGCAAGGAGGCTCACAGGGACATTTACAAATGACTTTATTATTTGCATTTGCCATTCTTTTACTAGGAAGGCAAGAGGGACTTGAGACTGTTGGTTGGCTCTTCACTCAACCCACTATCCATATGAGTTTAAAAATTCTTCCGTTGTATATAACCTGTCTGTTCTCCTATGATGCTGTTTTACTTATAATTATATTTTAATCCACTCAGATACATCCTTTATGATTTCTCCACCAAAATGGTATACAGAAAAACACCCATAGTGTTTGCATCTTATTTTAAATATAAATGCTTAAACTCTCGCAGACATCTGTTTGGTCTAAGCTGGAAGTTCCAAAAATCAGAAGACACACTAGGTATACATAAACTTAGAGGCACATATTTTTTCTAGCTTTCCTAAGTCAATCTTATCTGCAATAAGAGGTAGAATATTTACTCCCAATGTAATCATTATTGTTAAAACTTTATCATACAAAATAAATGATGGTTCTTTTGCTTAATTTAGGACTAACAATAATTTAAGAGAGACAATCAGCCCGCATATTTCTACTTTACATTGTCTTTGGATATGGAGGAGATAAAAGCCAGTTTAAGTAACTGGTATTCATTTTCAAGATAATAATAAAAATAATTTTATTTATAAAATGTCGGTTTCGTAAAGTAACTTGTAAGAAAATAGTATTTAGCTCTGTGATATTCTGTAAGAAACCTAAGAGTCTTACTTCTCACTGATTTGGAGGACTCATAATAGTAAAGGAAAATAGTGTTACAAACGATTCCCAGTATTGGAAGAAATTTCAAAACCTATTAGTTTAATGCCCACCTGATGTTAAAATTCCTTCTCTGACAGCCCTTTCGGAAAGCAGCCTCGCCCAAAGTCTTCCTTCTCCAGTTCTTCCCTACACTCATTGCAATCTATTTTTGACATGCTGCTGAAACTGCTCATACCAATCAATGACATGGATGTTGACATAACTTATTATCCAAACTTAGGCACTACAGGGTGCTAATAATAATGATGGCAGAACAATGGCTTCCAAGCAAACTCAGACAGATGGTCATTCTACCAGTGAATGTCATTTCTGCTACTATAGCAAATAAACTTCAGCACCTACTGTAGGTGAGCACTCTCATTATTTGATGTTGACTACATCACCCTTCTTAGACCTCCTCCTCCCATTTTCCCGTTTTTTTCGGTGATTCCATTTACCCTTCATTTGCCACCTAGCCCTTTGTCCCTCCCTCTACATCTTCTCTTTCCATGCTCACATCTTCAATGTTAGTATTTTCCAAGATGCTGCCCCCATGCTCCCCCATCTACAACTTCAGTCCGTAGCTCCCTCCTGATCTTCAGGCTGCACATCCTACATCCTACTGAACATCTCCACTTATTTGACTCACAGACAACACAAACTCAGTATGTTCAAAACTGAGCTAATCATAGTTCCTCACACTGAATTTGCTCCTCTGCCATTGTCTTTTAGTAAATGACATAATCATCAAAGCAGTTTCCCATGCTGGAAACTGTGGACTCAACTATTATTCCACCTCTCTCTTATCGCCCACTACCAGGCAATCACATTCATAACATTTTTCAAATTTGCCCAATTATTTCCATCCCCATAATCACTGTCTTTATTTATACTGCATTACTACTCATCTGTTTAGTCCTGCAACATTCTCCCTATTGGTACCCTTGCTGTCAGTCCTTTCTCTGCATTTCAATCCATTCTCTGTATTACAGTTGAAATATGCTCATGTCACTCCTTTATTAACACCTATCATTAGCATCTAGTTTTCCTAGGATAAAGTATAAAACTATGTAGCATGGTTTTAAGACCTTTCACTTTCTGGTCCCTTTATAACTCTCCAGATTTATTGTCTGATCATGCAGCCATTGGTAGTTTCTTCGCACCTTTGTGTGCCTTGGTAAAAACTCTCCCTCTCCCTATCTCTCTCCCTCTCTCTCAAATGACCACTAATTGACTCCTCTTCGCCCGTCACAAGTCCACTTGAAACTCATTTCCCCAGGAAACCCTTCCTGACCTTCAGAGGTCACAGTAGTCCCACATCCCTGACCACACCATATTCTATTGCCATTTTCCTTTCTCTCATTTTATCCAGAACACCTGACAGAGAAGGACTGGATTTAATTCATACAGGGCATGGCCCAAAGAGGGTCTGCTCCATTAGCAGAGTGACTTCATTGCATTCACCACCACATCCTCAGTGCCTAGCACAGTGGCTGCCATGAAGTAGATGCTCAGTAAATAGACCTAGAATACGTGAATAAAGAAAGTAGTTAAAATGTTTGAATGAATGAATAAGTGTATCAGTACCTCCAAGACAGTTTATTCTTAAGTGAGGTGTTGCAGCTAATTGATTAATGTCTTTGCTCATCTACAAAGTATTTTGTTTTTCCTGGAGAATTTAGTCTAAGTACATTGTGCTTCAGATTCTCACCTCCCTAAAGCATGCCAGGTGATGTTCACAGTCCCAAGCCACAGAGCACAGTGCATAAAGCACAAAGCATAGCAATGGCTCATTCCCTACAGAAGATTTAAAGCTTGGAGCAAGTTACTTATCTTATAGTTCAGGGAACTCAACAATGTTTCTGAGATAAATTACTATGGGTTCAAAAGGAAAGTTGAGATTGCATTTTTCATAGCCTGCTTCCACATATAGCTATGCATCCAATCTATAATATCTGACACAAATTTGCTTCAATCTATATCTTTATTCTGTGCTCAGCATACAGTAGAAGCTTCTGGGGAGAATACTCAAGCCAGGGTCACTGGGCGTTATAACTTAGGATAACATAGATATTTTCTGTTAAAGGCAAATTCTTCATACCAGAAGTCTGAATAGGCTGCTACTTAAATAACAACTTCAATTGATAATATTTAAGGCACTAGAAAGGCTATATGAAGAATGTTCACCAGGCTATAGTGTTTGCATTTGACTATAATATTTTGTTCACATAAAGGACTTGGTTCTCTTTCAGCTTTTCCAAGTTATAAATGAACACATTGAACTTGTATCACATGAAGAACTGGAAATGATTTTCTGTGCTGGTGGTATTAATAATAATACCTATTATTTATTATAGCTATTTATTATACCCTAGGCATTTGCAGACTCTCTTTTTATAGACTACAGTATCTAATCCTCAGAACAACTGTATGAAATGAGTATAGTATTGTCTTCATTTTTCAAATGTGGAAACTAAGGCATATAGAGAGGTTAAATGGCTACCCAAAATTACACAGCCACTAAGGGGCAGAAACTGGATTGGGCCCAAAGTAATCTTTCTCTGAACCCATGCTCTTTACTGTTTTGCTGTTTTCTTATGTGTGGCAGAGAGGTTCTATTATTTATGATTTAAGACCCATGTGACCATCTGCAAGTCTCAAAACCTCACTCTGGTTCCCTAAACTTCCTTTTAATCTTACCGTTTGATGAGCCTAAATATGCCAGTGGATAAATAGATTTTCTTGGCTGGCTTAATCCTGTGCCTTACAGCTGTCTGGTTGCCATCTCTTCCACCTTCCTTCATTGGAAGATGACTGTAGCTGTTGAAAACCTAGCTGTCTATGCCTTTTCCAGCTATCACTAATTTTTGCTCTTCATTTAGATATTTCCTTTGGCAAAAATGACACATTAAAGATTACAGATCTTGTCATTCTGTTTGAAGGATTGATTGCCCTGCCTAGCAGAGTGCCAAGCATGGTGTCAGCACTGAAATGTGCTTGATGATCAAAACAGGCCCGTTTAGGCAGATTCATGTGAGCCTCAGAGACCATCTCCCCCCAGTGCGGTTTATTACCAGATGATTCTGTATTTGGAGACCATTTCAAATGCATGGAGAGTAATTCATAAACATTCCCTGGGGAGCGCAAGGTGGAGGATATCTCCTTTTACTCCAATACACACCTTTTCCAGCAAGCCAGAAAATTAGGTAGTGGTATTTTTGTGTAAGAGGGAGGAAAGAAGAGTATCCATATTATAATATTTAAAATCATGTCATCTGTAGATTCTAGTTTTATATTTTATCTCAAGTTTCCATTAGAAAAAAATCTGTATATTTTTCCTCATACAGAATTTAGTCTTAAGAAAGTGCATCTACAAACATACACAGTATTCTTTATGAATCAGGGTCTAAGCGTAAAAATACTTTCAGAGAGTATGAAAATCCAAATGAAATCAATTTGGTAATGTTGTGTCTATTATTCTCATTTATTTATTTTGTTATAATCTTTAGAAATGCACATAAAATATATCAGGAAAAAGTCAGAATAATATTAGCAATGCCTTATATAAAAATATGTATATGTATGTGTGTATGTAGTATTTCAAGGCAT